CAAGGTTTGTGGAATCAGGTAAATAAAAGACGGGGGTACCAAATGCGGTTAGATTCTTGCTTCATACTGTCACTCCTTCTGTTGCGCATGGAGAACTTTTATTTACATAGCTTTTCTTGTAATACATTTTTTCTGATAATTTCTTTCCTTTTTACAGTATTATTATATGCTCCGTTTACTGCCACGAAATTTCTGTGATTTGACTCCCCCGCGGCTACCCCAACGGTGGGGGGAGGTAAGAAAGCGAAACGCACCCGAGCGCCGACCAAAAGATGTCGAAAGACAGGCAGAAGAGGCGCGCCCTCGAGCAGAATTGGGCAGAGTGATTTCTGGAGGAAGGCCAGGGCCGAGGAGGAACAGGCATCCCATGCACTGCGAACATTACTGCTGAGTCGCAAACGAGGGTTGGTGAGGTAGAGCTCCTCAAACAGGGTCAAACCGCCATCAGTGGTCTCCAGGTCCGAAAGGTCGGTAGTCTCTGACCGGGCCTGCATACCCAGGAGGCGCAGATGCATCCGAGCAAGGGATCTAGAAAGACAAACCAAGACTTGGAGAATATTTGATGTAAGGGTATTGGCAGGCCACACAGTGTGTAGCTACGTAGTTCGGAGAGGAGTAGTATAACACTAAGTTAAAACTCGGGGTTAGGGAGTCTGCACATAGGAAATGGCAATACCAGCAAAAATCCGAAAACGGAAATTAGACATCGTTGGCCCACTAGGGCTTCCTGCAAGCACTGCAAACTTGTACGTGAACTAGATAGTCTTCAGTGGAAGATTCAACGCATCCAGTCACATCCGTCGTATCCAATGGGGTCTATGTGCTGCACAGCATACTGGTACAAGCGTGCTGATTTCTCGATCACCTCGAGACGGACCTCAAGCCCTCGGATGGCACATCGTTCCACATCGAACAGCAGCTATCACGACTAGTTGTCTTGCTGCATGACACAAGTTCTGGGACAAGGTAATATTTCGCATGCACACCAGTCAGATTGTAGTTAAAACGAGGTCACGCAGGGTCGGCCTATCGCTTTTCTCTAAGAGTTTTTCCCCGAGGGTGAGATGAAGTCGAGTACACTGGATATTATATGTGGGTGATGGGGATGACGGTAGAAAGTTTGGCGGGTCTGCATCATTCGAGTAGCAGTCTGATATTTTTCAGAATTGAGTACTTGAGCCATCCAAAAGCGTTAGCAAACGGTCAGATCTTGTTCAGTGGATTCTTCAGGCGGGGCGACTGTCGTTACGACCGTCATTTAGCACTTGAACGCCCAACCTGGACCACAGGAAGAGAGACATTAATATTAATAATAATAATATGTACTGATATAGGGCCTCTTGGGCACTATGATTCTATCACCATTACTTTGTGACATTGGCTTTTATGAACAGGAATTGCAAACGCTTCTTCATTTTTGAAGCAGTAAACCAATAAAACATTTTGTTTCTTCATCCGTTTCGTCATTGTCGCCATCGCCACCACCATAAGTTGAGAAATTTAGAGGTATTCATGGCTTATAACTTCGCCCACGGATTGTCTCATTAACACAACAAAAATCAAACAGGGATAACACGGGCGAATGTTTAGACTTAAAAAAAACTCACGAGGTAGCATCTCCCCGGAGCTGGTCGACTGGTCGTCTTGTAGAGACCAGCCACTTGTTAAAGAGGAGAGAACGATAAACCAGCATCAAACGATTCTCAAAACGCTCCACAGCATCATTATCAAGGAGTACTGCTGAGGAGGGTGAGTGCGCCTCTGGCAGAGTGTCCACTCCCTCGGCTTTCTCCTCAGCTCCGATCGAATCCTCAGGCACCACCAAGGCAGCGCTGATTCCCACCTCCTCCTTGAACTTGATCCAGAGCAGGAAGAGTGCCACACAGAACCGCAGTCTGCTTTCGGTGGTCTGTAGAAAGCCCCGACAAAGCAGTTCGGCCGCCAGGCGCGAACTCAACGCGGTCAATTTAGGTGATCTTCTGCCATTTCGTCCTTCGCTCTTGACTCGTTTAGAAGTATTAAAGTCACCAGACCGGAAGAAGTCTAGAAGAGGATGGCGGAAAAAGTGAGGGCAAAGTATTTGGAGAAGGCTCGCGCAATACACTCGTTGGCATCACCTCAGCTACGGT